GTTTTTAAATGAATATCAGTTCTGAAAAGATGCACCCAAACTGGGCCTCTGGAAGGAACTGAGATGGGGGAGGGTGTCAAAAAGAAACTTTCTTTTCTGTAATATTTTCATTTTTGATAAGAATCTATTCATAGAATTGAAAATGAATGGATTTAGTATTAAAGGTAATGGTAAAGACCAGCTCAGGGAGGTCTGGAATGTTTTGGGCTTGTGTTCTTTTTCAGGTCATTTAAGATTTTTCAAGTCAAGTCTTGGGGCCATCTGTTGCCTGATGAAATTGAGGCGTGGAGAGTTGGGAGACAGGTCTCCACCCGGAGTCCCCATCTGGCCGAGTGACCTTGGGAGGTCCCATCCCCTTTCCGGACCTCAATGTCTTCATCTGCCCAATGGGAACCAGATTGCTGTGTTACCAGGGGATGTGGGAGGATGAAATGAGGACACAAGGAGAATCCCATGAATATAAGAGATTATTCTCTGGGTCAGGGGAGTCAGGGAGCGGAGGCCTTCCTACCACCTGCCAAGCCCACGAGGGTGCAAAGGAAGCAGAGCTGGGGACCACCCAGGAGAGCAAACAGCCCATCTGTGGGACAGGGGCATGTGGTTCGCAGCTGGCCCGGACTGCCCACAGCCCAGAGCCTGTGGCACAGCCGCCCAGGCCGCCTGGAGAAATGAATATGAGCTGGCTTCTTGCTGCTCTCCGCCTCAGTGCAGCCACAGCTCTGCCACCTCTCCAAGTCCCCATCATCACCCTCCCACTCCCCCCCCCACACACAAAGACCACGCCATATCTGCCCCTTTTAGCTCATTTTATCCCCACAGCCAGAATGGGCTTCCACAAAGAAAACCCACGTACATCCTGAGCTTGCTCAAAGCCCTCCAGTAGGTTCACACTGATCTGAAAACAAAGGCCAACCCCCCTACCGTAGCCAACAAGGCCTGGCCTGATCTGCCCCTCTCTGCTCCCCGCCCCCTCCTCCAGCATGGGGGTCAAGAGCCTGGCATCAGAGAAAATCTGCCTTGGTTAGAATTCTGGCTTTTTTCCTCATCCCTTCACCCATTCAAAAATGTTTATTGAGTACCTAATATAGGCCAGGTACCATTTGAGGCATTTGGGATACATCAGTAACAAATGACATGAAGGTCCCTGGCCTCGTGGAGCTTCCTTTATAGCAGAGGGAAGTCAACAATAAATGCATTAAACAGCATGCTAGGAAGTGGCAGGTGCTATTTTTTTTTTTTAAGAAAAAGTAAAGCAGAGGAAGTTGATCAGGAGGAGTACTAGAGGGGCAGGGGGTGCATTTTAAAATAGGATGATCAGGGTGAGCCTCATTGAGAAAGGGAAATTTAAGCAAAGACTTAGAGGAGGGGAGGGAGGGAGACAGGTGACATCAGGGGGAAGTGCAGGCAGAGGAAGCAGCCAGTGCAAAGGCCCTGTGGTGGGCACTGCCCCTGGCATGCGTGAAGAGCAGCAAGGAGGTGAGGAGAGAGGTTAGAGATGCCTCAGAGAGTTAGGGACACTCATGTGTGGCCGCAGGGGCCTCAGTGAGAGTCAGGCTTTTACTGAGTGAGTGGGGAGCGTCGGAGGGTTCTGGCCATAAGGGAGTGGGAGAGGCAGAACCGGGAAGGAGAGGTAGCCAGCAGGGCTTGTGGATGTCTTGTGGGTGGCTGCCTCATCCCGATCCCACAGGGCACTCTGGAGTGTAATTATATCTCAGAGTTATCTACCCACACCCCTGCCAGCAGCCCAGGCAAGGAAGGTGGGCCTTCAAATCCCTGAAATGATGGGGTACAGCTTGTGGGGAGGGTAAGTCACCCAGGGGGCTCCAGAAGTCTGAGGGGTGTCCTCCCTGAGGACAGAAGTGGATGCTGGTCACTGAACACTTACAGGAAGGCTCACAGACATGGTGAAATGGGGTCTGAGGGGAATGGGCGAAGCATCACTCTTGTTGACTCTAGTCCTCAAATGCCAAAGTCCCAGCAGCAGCCACATCCTTTTTGGCTTGGGCTTTAGGTGGCTGAAGATGGGGGGGGGGGTACCCCAGTGTGACCAAGTGGAGTTTATTTGATTAGGAAAGACATAGTAGGTATCACTCCCATCCAGGATAGCGGAGGGATTCACCCTCTACAATATCCCACCTATGTGGCATCCCTGTACCTCTGGGATGGGGAACTACTTATCCCTGAGTTAGTTCTGTTCATTTTTGGATACTTTGGATTGTACAAAGCTCTGCTTCATGTTGAGTCCATTCACTCATTCAGTCAGCATCCACTGAGCACCTACTGTGTGCTAGGCATCATGCTAGGTTCTGGCGACACAGAAGAAAACAAGACAGACAAGGTCCCTGCTTGGAGGAGCTCCTGACAGGAGAGGGAGATGACCAGAGAAAAAAGATGGTGTGGCGAAGGCAGTGATGGGGAAGCCCAGGAAGCTGCCAGGGTGATAGGGGACTTCTGACCTGTGGGAGGAGGTGACACCGAGCTGATAAGTGGGAGACATGCAGTGGTCACACAGGTACATGGGTATGTGGAGAAAAAGAATCCAGGCTGATGGAGGAGTGTATGCAAAGTCCCTGAAAATCCCGACTGTGCTCACCATTCTGCCCCTGGCCCAGCGACCATCCTGTATTCCCTGAGTAACTGCAGCAGTCTCCCGTTGGATCTCCCACAGAGGAGCAAAGAAGCTGGGGCATGTAGCCTCTAACTCCTCTCTCTTCTTGGTTGAGGGCCACTGCTGTGGGCGTTAACGTGCCGCACTCCTCACTCCACTTGCATCCACGAGCAGAGAAGCAGGAAGCCGCAGGCATGTACAGCAATGTCCCCATGTGACCTCCAGGGAGGGTTTTGCCAGTGTGGGAAGGGCACCTCCCTCCCCTTTCTGATCTGAGCTCCTGCCTTCCCTTCCTTGCTCATTCAGTTCCACCTACACTGGCTTTGCTGTTCTTCCAACTTCCAGGACGTTTGCATTCTGTTCCCTCTGCCTTGAATTCTCTTCCTCCAAAAATCCACATTTCTCACCTCTTCCACCTCTGCTCTCTGCTCCAATGACACCTCCTCAGAGAAGTCCTCCCTGACCACCTTATCTCAAATAGCTCCCAAAGCATCATTTCCTCCCCACCTTGCCTTGCTCTGTTGTTCTGCAGAGTACTTATCATCACTTAACATGATATATTTAAATCTGTAACTGACTGTGATGATCAATTGAGATAACTCACTACCTTCGGACCAGCCTTAATATGATATATTTATGTGTTCATATGTTTATTGTCTGTCTCTCTCACCAGACTGGAAGCCTCTGAGTGCAAGGACCATGTTTGGTTTTGGTCATGGCAGAATCCCTAAAACAGGGCTAAGGTAGTCAATAAATATTTGTGTAATTGATGGTTCTGAAACAGAAGTGGTTCTGAAACAAGAGTCCTTCCAGGTCTGACTGTCTCAAAGTCTTGGATATGACCACCCCAACACTTCCAAAGCCAGGGGTACCCTCTAAGGGCCAGTCACAGCCAAGAAGCTGCCAATTTGGGAGCCTCCTTCCAATCAGCCTTTCTTCATCCAGGTTCATCTGGCAGGGGTCAGTGGTCAGTTGACCCTGTCCAGCTATCTTTGGGCCGCACGGTGAAGGAGACCCAGCTCTGGGGTCCGCACCCCAGGGATGTCTGCTGAGCCATGCCTCTTTGGTAAACGGTCCCCACTTCCTTCCCAGGGCTGTGTCAGCGTTTCTGAACCAGAAGGTGTTTATACAAAACATCCTGGGTTTGGGGACAAATTCACCCTCAGCGAGAAACCCTTAATGAGTCTCCTTTCTTCCCCACACCAGGCAGCTTCAGGGAAAATTAGCTCTGCCTCTGGCAGCTAAAGGCAGCCAAAGGCTAGGCAAAGAGGAAAGGCCACAGTATCAGGGAGGGAGGGCTTTTTTTTCAGGGCTCAGAGACAGCTGTGGTATGGAGACCACAGAGCTTTTCCACCCACGTTTGCTCCTGACTTTCTGGGTAACACAGCATTGCCCTGCTGCCGGCCTCAGTTTGCAGCTGTGGGATGGGGCAGGAGGAAGCCTCCCTACAAAGGTCGTGAAATTCAAGCAAGGCAAGGGATGTGAAAGAGCTTGGTTACAAGAGGCCAAAAGGAGGGAATAAAACTCTGGACTCGGGGAGGTAGGAGGTCAGAGTTCTAGTGTCAGGTCTGCTGTTGACTTTTTAAAGTCCTCTCTGTTCCCTGAGCCTTGGTTTCCAGCTGTACAATGAGGGGTTTGGGCACGATCTCTAGGGAACGCTCTGCTTCTAAAGGACAGCAACTTTTTCCCTACTTGCCTCTTCTTGGAGGTCCTCCCCGATCCTACGGCCCACACCAATTTGCTTTCAGTACTTACAGAACTTCACTGCTCACTGCCCATGGTTTTCCAGCACCTGCCTTGGGTCTAGGTCCACTATTTCCCACATTGGGCCCAACATAGGGGCCCTTAAGCACTGGTCAAAGTGAATAAAAAATTATTCCTGCCCCTTCTGATCCTGCAGAGAGATGATGAGAGAGACTTTTATTCACTCTTGTTTTATAAATTAGAAACTTAAGGTGTCAGAGGTTAAATATAAGTCACAGTGCCCCATGGGTTTCCTTGGTGTTCCTCAAACAGGGAAAGAATGAGTTACACTTCTTCAGACCTCTCTCGGTCTGCCATAGTATGTAATTAATTTTGTGGTCATTAATTGTCGCCCTTCCTTCTAGGATGAAGTTTCACGAGGGCAGGGACTCTGTTTTGTTCACTGTTGCATTCTCAACTCCTGAAAGTGCATGACATATAGCCGGGTACTCAAGAAATGCATGTAGGGAGGAACGGAGAGCTTAAGACGTCGCCCCGAGGCCTATGCTCTCTGGGCCTGCAGGGGGCGCTCCAGCCCCGCCCCCAAAGATAGACCCTGCGTCTCGGGTTCAGCTGACGCGTGTGCGTTAGAGCTGCTCGCCGCCGGCCTCTTTTAATTGAGCATGCGCGCCGGAAGCCCGGTCAGAGCGGCGCGTGCGCAGGCCGAGCTGGAGCGGAGTTTAGCAGGAGGAACGCCGTCAGGGCTGCCGGGCACCATGCTGGCACCAGAGGCGGAGCGGGTGCTGCAGTACTTGGTGGAAGTGGAGGAGCTCGCCGAGGCAGTGCTGGCGGACAAGCGGCAGGTAGGAGGGGCGTCCGCGGAGCAGGAACCCGGGTTCAGCGGTTGGGGCCTGTTGATGGGGCCCGTAGGGGAGCGCGCGGGACCCGGAATCTGGTTCCAGCACTCGTTTGCATTGGGTTGACCCGGGGCAGGTACTCGAATAGCGGTGACGGTGACGACAAACATACGGTAATTTGAGGTAATGTGGGCAAGTGCTTGGCACAGCGCCGCGCTTCCCCCTTCTGTACAGCACGTACTAGCGGGGCGCCCGCTCTGTGCTAGCGATCCCCTCGCTCCGTCCTTCCTTTGTCCCTTACTGTGCCCCCCGGATCCCGAACCATTTTTACCTGAACCTCTTCAAAATGCACTTCCGGGGCTCCCTTACTGACCTGGGCTGCGCCGCCCCAGTCCGGGCCCTGAGGGGAGAAGAGAAACATCGAAGAGATCTGAGTGGCGTGTGATGGCGCAGGGGTGGGGACGCGGGTGGGACCCTAGTCTCGGCGGGTTTTGTAGATCTCAACACGGAGCTCGGGTCTGGTTCTACTCCGGGTGCCAAGTGTTTGAAGGGAGTTCATGGGGGGAGGGGGCGGAAGACGAGGTAGTTGGATTCCGGTTTTAAAAGGACCCCGTCCCCGGCCCGGGTCCAGAAGAGGTATGGGCTTGGACCACAATGGAGGTGATGGAGACAGCCAATGGGTCAGAATGTGTTTTGGAGATGAGCGTGGTAGGTCTTGATTCCGGTTACATACAGAGGTGAGGGGCTAGGAGGAGACAAGAGTGATTCATGACTCCTCTTCAGTTAGAAGGATTGGCTGGTTGGTCTGTCGGGTATTTAATGAGACTTGGGAGAAGAGCCTGTGAAATATGAAACGCTGCGTGAAGGCGTGCTGAGCCACGATAATGACGGCTGTTAAAATTCGTGAGTCCTTACCATGTGTCAGGTGCTGTGTTAATAATTCATTTCATTCCTGCTCCAGTAACCTATGAAGTAAGTACTGTTCATACCTTCATTTTGCAGAGAGGTAAGTAGAAAGGTGAAATTGGACGGTTCATAGCGAGAGTGGTATTCAAACCTGGGTATTAGGACTCCAGGGCCAGTGCTCTGAAGCAGCGTGTTAACACTCCCTGTCATTCTTCAGTAGCTGTCATGCCGGTACCACTGTCTCCGTGCCCCACCCTGTCTGTTCCAGTCTAGTATTGTGGGCTCTCAGGACACTAGGTTAGAATCAGCTGGAGGAGCTTGCCCAGGAAGAGGTTTCCACTCCCTGGTGATTCAGAAATCCCCTAAAGCTGGAGAACTGGCGCTCAAGCGGATAATGAAAAATGATCTGTTTGGTCAGCCTTTTCCCAGCACCTGCACTGGGGGGAAACCCCTGCACAACGCGTGGTTTTTAAGGACCTGGAAACTGGATGGGGGAAGAAATACATTTACACATCAGTCCATTTTAGACAGGACACTGGAAGTAACCCTGCAACGATGCCTTGTTGTCTTTGTCGGTTCTAATAGAGAGGCGGGTCTGTTGGGAAGCGACAGGCTGGAGCAAGACGTAGCTGAGACCTCCCCTGCCCTGTGCTTTTCAGATTGTGGACCTGGACATGAAAAGGAATCAGAACCGAGAGGGCCTGAGGGCCCTGCAGAAGGATCTCAGCCTCTCTGGTAAGTCAGGGTTTCCTCACTACAGCCCAGGAGGCCTGTTCAGTTTTCCTTCTAAGGTCTTTGCCTTGTCCCTGTTAGAGACCAGGCAGGAAGCTACAGGTGTGTGACATAGCCCGTGGAGATAGGGGAGGCATTTTCATGGGTCTGACACAGACTGGCTCACAGTTTTAGTTGCTCACCTCCGTGACAGGCCACTAGGTGCTGGCTTGTCACTGATGGTACTGGGAGAGTCCTGAGGGTGTGGGGTGGGGAGGGTGGCATAAAAACAGTGTGGTTCCTGGCCTTGTTCTCTACGACTGAGCAGAGCAACATACATATATCATAGAAAATCGTGAGAAAGCAGAAGAAGGGGCTGGGGGTGGGGTGGGGTGGGTGTTGGAGGAGGGGATGGGGGCTCTTAGAGGCCAAGTGGCGGTGACACAGTAAGCAAGGAGGGAAGGGCATGTGAAGGGGCTGGGAAGATGGGCAGGGGCCAGGCCATAGTGGAGGGAAGAAGCGTGAATGTCGTTTAAAGTGCACTGGAAGGTCTGAAACCTTCCTGGTTGCTTCTACTCTCACCAGACTGAAATTCAGAGTCCTGCAAGACCCCGTGGATTCCAGACCCCCTTACATTCCCCAACGCCGTCTCGACTTTGCCCTCACTCATTGTCTCCATCCTTACTGGCCTTGCTCTGCCTAACACCCCAAGCACATTACTAGCCTTTGCTGAAGGGCTCACACCCTCGCTTTCTTCAAATCTCTGTCCAGATGTGAAATAGTCAGCGAGGCCTTCTCAGACCACCTGGTATAAATAACAAGCCCCTCGCCAACTCGGGCATTCCTCATCCCTCTTGCCCTGCTGTATGTGTCTCTACAGTGCTTGGGCCTGTCAGGGACTGAGAGATGATACCTTTGCGCGTTCATTCCCCCTCCTCCACCATGACGTCAGCTCTAGGAATGCAGGAACTTTGTCTTGTTCTGCTGTGTTCTCAGCATCTAAAACAATGCCTATCAGGTAGTAGGTGCTAAAAATGTTTGTTGAATGAATGACCATTTGTCATTTCAGAGGATGTGATGGTTTGCTTCGGGAACATGTTTATCAAGATGTCTCACCCTCAGACTAAGGAAATGATTGAGAAAGGTAAGACTCCCTGGGCGTGGATCCTTGAGCTTTGTAGCTTCCATTTCTCATAGTGCTGTTTGCTTTCAGGTGCAGTCTGCTGAGGTAGGATAGCCTTTTCTGTTCACCGTGGCTAATCAGGTTCAGCTTGAGCATTCAGCCAGCCCATTGATTGTTTAGGTCATGTGTTTCCACAGTCATGCTTTCCTGAAAACCCCTTGATGGACTTGGGCTTTTCTGATTCCTTAGCCACCCATTTCCCAGCCATCTTCGGGTAGGTGGGGGTGTAGGCTCTTCATTCTGTTCTAACAGTTGACTTTTCCCTGACTTCACTGTGAGTGGTGACCTAAAGTCCCAATGTGGCCTTCCCTGTGCACAGGTCAGAGGACTGAGAATCGGGAATGGTCTGCTCAGCCTGACCCTGGGCTCCCTCAGTGGTGGTGGGTGGGTCACGTTGCGTCTCTAGCCTTTGGTTCCTTCCTCAGTTGGTCTCTGAAGTCCCCTTTTCCTTCCTGAATGCTAAGGGCCCTTGCTGTCAGAGGGGCTAGGGAGAGGCTGGCACCCCCAACTCCCTTGGGTCATTCTGTCTATAGTATAACCTCATCCGGTTTGCCTGCTTTACTTTTCAGATCAGGATCATCTGGATAAAGAAATAGAGAAACTCCGGAAACAACTTAAAGTGAAGGTCAACCGCCTGTTTGAGGCCCAAGGTATTGGCCTGGGCTGGGTGAGAGGGGAGACAGGAAACCAGGAGGGTTCGTAATCATCATCACAGACTTAGAGGGCAGGGTGGGAAGCCCCTCCCAGGTGGACAGCGGTCTGGACTGCATGCGAGTGGAACTGAAGCTATAGGCAGTGGGCAGTGTTGTCCCTAGCCACCCCGAGATAGAATGACAGGGAAGTTTGTGGGGTCTTGTTCCTATCACAGTTCTTTTTCCAGGCTCCAGGGACAGCCTGGGGTAGCTTCCATTTTATGCCAGGGAATGGTGTGGGGACCGGGATAGCTCTGGCTCAGAAAGCTGCATTTCTAGGTAAACCTCACTGCTCCAGACCGATCCCCGGTACGGCAGAAGTTCAGCGGCTTCTGGGCAGCAGAGTCATGATTCTGCAGGCTCTTGGTGACTCGGGAGGGGTGTCGATGTGTGCTGTTCAGTACATGGCAGATGTGAGGCCCTTCACTGTCAGACCTCAAAGCCAGGTGGTCGGCAGCGTGCACACGGTGTAAGCTCCTTTCCCAGGCCTGGCTCCAGGGCCCATAGTTGGGCCAGCAGGAGGCCTGAACTCGCTGATGGATCGTCTTCTTCCCCTAGGCAAACCGGAGCTGAAGGGTTTCAACCTGAACCCCCTCAACCAGGATGAGCTTAAAGCTCTCAAGATCATCTTGAAAGGATGAAGTTCAAGAACCAACATAGGGGACCTAATGCCAGAATCCCCCCTGGGGTCACGTAGGACCCAGAACTCTCCAACCTTTGAAACCTGCAAAGATGGTGTCTGCCCTGCAAGGGGACAGGCATCTGGCCATGGCTCCTGTATGAAGTCTCTTTCTGTAGTACTCGACTGATCCATGACAGCGGGAGGGAACCCTCAGCCTTCCAGTGTCTGCCGGGCCTGTCCGCGGGGGCCGGAAAGACACAAGACCCATTGACAGTCCCGAGCAGCCACCAGTGGGTGGGCATGGGCAGCGCCGGTGGGGGTATGAGAAGGACTGCAACCGGCACTTCTCAACAGTGGCCTGCTGTTTGCACGGCCCCGGGCAGGGAAGGAGGGAGAGGGGAAGAGTGGGAGCTTCATTCCCGCATTCCTTTCAGAAAGCGAGACGTTTTCAGGCAGCGTGTGTAACAGAACTGGAATAAAGCAGGAGGCTCACAGGTGGTTTCTGAAGGAAGGACAGAATCTCGGTGCTCGTGGTTAGCCACAACTATCTGTGGAGCAGACATACTGTTTCTCCTCGCTGGCTCCACTTCGGCCTGTTTCTCCTGCTTGCTTCCAGACAGCCCGGAGTGGGTGCTGCTGTCAACCCTCCACAGCTGCTCTCTGGTCAGGAAGGCCGTGCAGACTCCTGCACCAGAGACGGGCGAGGGAGACTGCCTCTTACACGCTTCTTGCATTCAGCATGCCCCCTGCCCTGCCCTGCCCTGCCCCCACCACCAGGTCACCTCTGAGAGCAGGGCCAGGGCTGCTCCAAGTTTCCTTACCTTCAGTGTGAATGCACTGTGAGGGCAGCTCGGTGTCGTTCCTGTTCATTGAGGGCCCAATAAATGTTACCTAAATGAATGAATGGCAGCTTCTAGTCTTTACCTCGTTTGGTCCTCCATGGAGAGCACACTGCTCCCTTTAGGTCGGGGATATCAGCTGGGAAGGGCCAGTGGTTGCCCGAAATGACAGCAGGATCGGACCGGCAGTAACAGCAGAGCGGAATGGAGAGGGCGCGCCTCGGTTCCCCTCACTACACTTGGGCCCCGCTGGCAGTTACGTGGGAGCCCAGGCCGGCGTGGCCAGCCAGACCTTGTGTTTTCTTGTTAGGAGCTGGCACTTTGGATTTTTAAGTTGAACTTTCTGTCTTTTAAATATTACTGACTCAAAGTCTTTAAAAACTTTGGTGTTGGCTGAACAAATTTGATTCTGGATCTGATTTGGCCCAGAACTACTATTTTGCATCCTCTTTAAGTTTTTAGTAGAAATTTGTGTGTTTTTCCCACAATGACCCTAAGAGTAGGGAGATGGAATTGGGGACTAAATGAAGAAAAACAGAAACCAGATGTCCACAGCAGACAAAAGGAGTTGGTGGCCCCAGTCGTGGGGCACTGCAGAGCCACGCAATCAAGGATAGGGGCACACTCCGAGCACCGATTTGGGACGACAGCCCCAGGACTGACAGAGCAAGGGGCAGGGCAGGGGTCCGATAAACTGATGACGTGCATGCAGTCACTAACCATGTGGTTCCCTCAGAACAGAAACCGGATGGTTGGGGCGGAAGGGAAGAGCATGTTGCTGTTACATTGCATGTTTTAAAACAAAATCTAAAAAGTAGGGAGTAGCAGCATTCACTTTGGTAGGTACTATCTGGCATGACTGCTTTGCTCACAATTTCTCTGAATATTGCCCCTCCCTGTCTGGCAGGGAAGATGCCAGGCCAAAAAGCCAATTGGATCCTGTTGGACAGGGCAGGCCCGTGCCCAGGGCTGTCTGGGCTTGCCCCAGGGATGGAGGGGAACACCCTGCTCTAGAGGCAGGAGGCCCAGAGTGGCCCGGCTTCTCGCCTTCCCAAAGCTAACTGGTTCCCATCTTGGATTTGCCAGTATGTTCCTTCCAAAGCCCTTCCCGTTCCTGGGCAGTCAGATTCTGTTATTTGCAGCTGAAAGAACTTCGCTGAAGCAGGGAGACTGGCAGGGGGAGCTGCCTGGGGTCTCATGATAGGCACCCCACTAGCCCACTTGGAGCTTCTGTTAAACCGAGAGGAAGTGTAGGAATATAGGGATGTGGAAAATGCAGAAACTTTCACTTAACCGAACTTCTTAAGCCATCTCCGTGTCTGCCACCCCAGGGCTTTCTGGTTTAAAAAGCTCAGCTCCCAGCTTCAAGCAAGAAGGCCCAGAGAGGCACCTTCGTCACCCAGGTGACTTAGATAAGGGCACTTTCTTTTGCAGGGATCCTTACTAAGCAACTCTGTCTCCCTGGTCTTACTATATCCATCTGAGAAATGGGGGTAGTCTGGCCTGCTGGCTTTCAGATGGGCTCCCCTGACACTAGAGGTCAGGGAATCGCAAGGATGGAAGAATGTACTTAGGGTTCAGTCCTCCAGACCCCCAATAAACACAGTCTGACAATTGCTTGACAAGTTTCCTAGCCTGTGAATCCTCGCTCTTGCAGGACTCTCACCATTAACCTGAGAGACATCAAAGGGTCAAAGCCAGCTGCCAGCAGCATCCCTGAGCCAAGCCTGGTGCCTAGTAACTCCAAGTACTAGTATGGCCTGTACTCATTTATTATGCACACAGAGCTGTGATCTCTGGGGTAGTAGAACTTGCTGAGTTTTTCCTCTTTGGACCTGTTCACCGAGCCAGTCTGTCAAGGTTAAAACCCATCCAGTCCAGGGACCTGGCTGTCTCCCAGGGCAAAGATGCCCAGGGATCAGGCAGGGAATCCAGGGGGCCCAGCCCAGCAGCAGCCAGCAACTGTGGCCCAGCCAGAGGGAGGGAGGTGCATGGTCGGAGGTGCTGCGGTGCTGGAAATGGAGTGAGGGGAGGACTGGCTGGCGTGGTGCCTCCCAGGGTCCCATGGCTGGGATTAGCTGGAAGCTTTCTTCTGGCTTTGAAGGGAGCGAAACAGTTGCCTCAGCTGTGCTTTTCGATCGTTGATGCAACCTAGGAGGGAAGTGGAGTGTTGGCTGGGAAGGCCTGTCCTCAGGACAGGGGGTTCGGGAGAGTGGAGCGGCCTGGGCTCCCACTCCCTGGTGGGAGGAGGGGACAGCAGCGGTGTGTAGGATGGCCTGTGGTCTGCACCCTCAGCTGCTGCGGCCCTCAGGCTGTTTCCCTCCTGGAGCAGCAGTTTTCTCACCTGTCAGCCAGGTACCTGCTTTATGGGGCCAGTGTACGGGTCATCAGAGGAAGGGGGCCTTCACTGGGAACTAACCCAGGGACTTCAGGTGCTGAATGTAGATTAACTTGAGTTCTCATCAGAATGACGTGTAGAAGATAAAACAGGTTCAGAGAGGCTAAAGTAACTTGCTCCAAATCACACACTAAGCAGAAGATCTAGGGTTTGAACCAAACTAATTAGCTCCAGAGGTCAAGTTATTAACCACTACCCCACATTGCTTTTCTTCCGGCCTCAGTGACAATGCATTGAAAGCTAGCCAGGTGCCTGGTACCTTATAGGCTAAATGCTAGCTCTCTTGTCCCATGCAACCCCTGTGTCAGGCGCAGTTGGGTAAGGGATGAATCTTTCCCACAAGCGACCCCTACTCTCATGGAAGTGTGCCCCGGCCAGTCCACGCTGAGAGGCCAACATGAGCTTCTGAGACACCTGTTCTCCAGGTACATTCATGGAACAACTTCATGGTCATTCTCTTTTCTTTTTCAATTCTCACCTAGGGGTATGTTTTTATTGGTTTAAGGGGGAGAGAGAATCGATGTGAAAGAAAAACATTGACAAGTTGCCTTCCGTGCACCCAAACTGGGAATCGAACCTGCCACGGTTTGGTGTCCAGGATGATGCTCCAACCAGCTGAACCACCCGGCCAGGCATGTTGATGGCACTCCCAACTGCTGGTTGAGTGATGAGCTCATGTGGCCACAACTACTGATCTGGCAGCGTCGGCCATCTTTCTTAGCACCCCAAGGCCCTGTTTCCAACTCCCACGTACTCACCACTCATCGAGGCCTCACTGAGCTACGAGCCCACTGTACACCTCCCCAGGGTTCCGTGGAACCCTGGCCTTAGCTGTAATTGACTTATTCGTAACTCCCAAGTCTTAACATCCAACGCAGATCTCTTCTCGGAGTTCTACCCTCGTCTCTGGGGTATCTGCTCTTACCGGGAAATCCCTCAACGCATCCATGATGCATTTCACCAGCACCCCCCCCCGGTGAATCCCTTGCATTCACCACCATATGCCCAGGCACTCCACTAGGTACTTGGCAATGATTCCGTAGAGACTTCCCGAGCAGCGGCTCTCCACTGAGGCTGTGCTTCAGAGTCATCTGGGAGATCTTAGAAAGCACTGATGTCCAGACCACCCGTATCTTTTTCTCCAGCAGGCATCAGTGTTTTCTAAAGCTCCCATGTGATTCCAAAATGCAGCTGAGGTGGAGCAACACTGTTCTGGATCTTTGCTGCTCAACAGGGTCCAGAAAGCAGCAGCATCGATTTCTGAGGTGGACTGTTAGCAAAAAAGCTGCAACGGCTCCTCCCTTGCCTATAGGCAAACCTCTCTGTAAGGTGACTGCTTTTCTTCCACCAAGAGGTGGAGTCTATTTTCTTGCCCCATGAATCTGGGCTGGACTAGCTTTAACTAATGCTTTGTGGCAGGCTGACACTGTGGGTCTTCTAAGCCTAGCCCTCAAAGCTTTGCTACGTCTTCTCTCGCTGCCTTGGATCCCTGGGAGCACCACGTGAAGAAGCCAGGGCAGCACTTCCAGAGGACTAATGGCCACCAAGAAGGAGAGGCCCTGCTAACAATCAGAATCAGCCACCACATGTCAGTGAGGCTGTCCTAGGCCATCAGATCTCAGTAAATGTGCCAGGTGCCTGCAGCCCTATGAGTGACTAGACAACATCCGAAGAATGAGAAGCAAATAAGATAGTTGTTTTAAGCTGTCAGGTTTTGGGAAAGTTCGTAACACAGTAACAGTTAACTAATAGCGTCCCCTGGGAGCTTCCCAGAGATGCAGAGTTTTGGGCCCTATGCCAGACCCACAGAATCATAAACTTCACTTTAACAAGATTTCCAGGTGATTGTATGCACAGCTTGAAAGCACTATGCTGTCATCCTCCAAGAACATAATGTGGCAGACACTAGGGATCTGCTGTGGAAAAGCCATCCACAAACCTTGCATCTCAGGTGGCCACGTGAGCCAGGCCTGATGGATAAAAGGTCAGGAGAGGTCCACGGGAGGGCTTCCCTCCTGGAATAAACAGTCAAAGCTTGAAGGAAAGGCTTTGGCCCTTGGACCTTCCTGTTTCTCTCTGCCTGGGATGAGGACATTGTATCTGGAGTTGGAGCAGCCATCTTGCAACCATGAGGCAACAAGCACGAGTACCAAGACAACCTGCTAAGTGTGGCAAAGCAAAAAGAAGGAAGAGCTGGGTCTTTGGGGGTATCTTGCTGCCATTGTGTCAGCCCTGCACAGCCAACCCCAAGACTTCCTGTGACTCAAGACAACTCAGTCCCTCTCTGGATAACTATTAGCTGGCTGTTTTGTGGCTTGTGGCCAGCCCAATCCTGAATCACTGAAAAAAGACTTAAAACCTTTCATAAGAAAAAAAAGATGCTACAAACTGCATTTAAAATCAAATTACAAACTCAGTAAAATATTTACAATGAGCTCGACAGAGGGGTTATATCCTCAACATCACTATCCAAGGCCTTTATACATCTAGAAAAATGTAAACCCATTGGAAAACAGAGTATGGACAACTAACAAAAGAAGAAATGCAAATTTGAAAATCTGAAACCTCACCAGTAATCAGTGCAATGCACAAGTTGTTAATTTTTTTTTCTTTTTAATTCAGAGCTGGCAAATTCGTGTAATCTTTCTAGAAAACCATTTGGC